TACAAACAATATGTATGTATATATATATATATATATATATATATAGAGCATTCTTGATCTTGGATAGACGGAGACAGACTTTTTTAATTATGCTAGATGAATATTATGAGTGACTACATCCTGCACGTTTTCGTATATAAATATACTTCGTATCGTAAATATACGTAAAGTTTAACAAGGCACATTTTAAGCTTTGTACTTTCATTAATCATTCTCTATTGCGCTACATTTTTCATCCATTTTGTTGCGTATATTGAGACGTTAATGAATAATTTCGCAATCGCGATAGCGGAACGTTATGCATCGCTTCGTTCGTCGAATCTCACCGCATATTTCTTGAGAAGGAAACGCCAAGTGTACACATGCGAGGCACGTAATCCGCGTTTCGCCGTTGCGTCGGGAAAGATAAATCAAGGCGTCTTATGTACGTAAGCAGAACAAATTTCATTCAATCGGAATCGCGAGTGTGCGAGTGTGCGTTGTGTGTTTGTTAGCCTGCATTTATCAATAGAACACATCTGCATTCCGGGCTCTTCGCGCCAATGCCAGGTCGGCGGCGGGATTATTTTTCCAATACGTTACAAATACAGGGGGCGTATTTTCGAAGGAAATACGGAATACGAGATTGGACGCGTGTCCTCTTCGAAGACACGTTCGATTCAAGAACAATATCGCCCTGCTTGAAGAACTGCGCAAATTTCCTGTGGTACTTTTATGATTCAAGCTTATACAGAGCTTCGGAACGCACCGAGAAGAAGATGAGGAAAAGGTAGGGTTTTTTTTTGAAGCCCAAGTGAAACGTAAATCACATTTATTGTTATCGCAACGATGATCGTTGCCAATAACCGTAAAAATTATTTGAAACTTTTGAAAATGTAATTACATTTGCAGACAGGTAATTACGTTTACGTGCTTGAAAGATTATATATATATATATACATATATATACGTTAAGCTACGCGCTTAAGGGTTGAACATTACGTGCCTCGTATAACCGCCGAAGCCAAAGATATATCGCATTGGAGTTTATTCCAGAAGTGTCTGAAACTTCTTGCAGTGTGCTTCGGCACTAACCACGAGAGCTCACAAAGGCATAATGAGCACGTAAATCGTCAGAAACTTGTAATCCGCTTTGAAGTCGGCGCGCGGGAGGATCGCGACATGGCGGTCGCACGTAAATTCCGTCCGGCCGTTTATGCAAATTATCGGCGGGCCACAGGGTTAATACATTTTCGCGTGCGCGCGTGCAACGTTTCGCGATATCTATAACGATTCGATAGCTCGGCTACGTTCGGGCTCTACGGGTATATTTTCCAGCGAATTTACAGCATTTGCATACTTTGGGAATATTTAAACGCGGAAACCCCCGCGGCGGGTTACCGTTGGAAAAACAGGAATTTCACTGTTGAGCGAGAACGCCCGCCATGTTTCCGCGCAATGTGGAAGATCGAAACGATGAGGTCTCGTTTAACTCCCGACACATTCCGAATTCAACATAGAATCATAGCAGATTTCTCTTGTTAATTTTAACTTTACTAGACATTTCGATCAAATAGATAATTTTTATCATTTCTGTTATGGACTTTCGTTATACACGAACTTTTGTTTATAATTATTGTATGATTGAGTTTAAAAAAAATGAAAAACTGCTCGCAACACAATTTATTGCAATAACAATTTAAATATTTATTACGATGCTAGATTTTTCATTGTTTATAAATGCATCTATATTCCGTTTGTAATCTGGGATGCCATTAATGACTTCAGTTAAAGTTAAAGTTATTTAGATTGATTGTAAAAGTCAAGTATTAGTTAAGTAGAGAATGCTTTTTTAAATCAATAAATAATAACAGTTACTGTTATAAGCTATAAAAGTTATTTATTTTAATTTTGTTCATAAATTTATTAATAAAAATTGACGCAAACTATATAGATTATGTTGTTCAATCTAAAATAAAACATTTTAAAATAATGAAGTTCTTTAATGCCGAAAATTCAAAGTTTGTAATTACACTCTCTCTATTTATAAATAATTTACGTAATTAATGCTGTTTCAATTCATGCTGTAACAATCTCAATTCTGTTTGATGCATACATTAAATTATATCGTGTTTTTTTCTTATTACTAACTCGTTTGAATAAATGTTAATAACGTTATATAAAAGATGATTAAAAAATGTGCTTTTTAGAATTTTATAATTTTGTATAATTACAAAGAAAATAAGTGAAGAATAATATTAAGGTGTGAGAAATAAATAAAGGATTAATAATACAAGTCAATAATATCATTATTAAAACTCACCATTCAGAAACAAAGAAGAATCCACTCGATAGAATTAAAAGAAGAAGGACCTCACGCACTAAATTCGACACATTTTTTCAAAAAAATCACTATAAACGCACAAGCACACAAACGTAATTTTACTCCAAATGGACTAAGATAGTAGCCGAAAGTTAAGTTAAATTAATTTAATTAACACGTAAAACTTTGGATTAATCTTCAAACTGCACACTGCACAAGTTTACGACGCGCTGATTCTTCTTTATCCTAACATTTCATTTTCTTCGCTACTCAACTCGTTTCTCATTCTCATGAACAGGTCAAAAAAATTTTACAATGATCCGATACCACTGGTTTATTATCTCGATGCATTTAATTAAAATCGCAAAAATGTTCTCTACCGGCAAAAACATCCAGGATTTTTCATCAATATCACTTTATTTTATTCGACACACTTACTTTATTCACACAGTTTTGATTTCTACAAGAAATTCAATTAACTACTTGTTATGTATTTCAGTTCGTAAACAAATATTCCACCCTCGTCTCTCGCATAAGAGGCGATTTTCATCGACATTCTTTAATTTTATAAAACTTTTATGTATATTTTTTTACTAATGTTTTTCTCTAACACTGTATCACATCTCGATCAACGTCAACGCTGAACATTCGAATAGCGCGATGATCCGCGTCTTCCGGTCCGCATTTGCCGGAAGTGAGTCCGAGGAGATGTTTCAACCCTCGCAGAACCGGTGACGACGCGTCCGCGCGCATTCCGCTCGCAATCGCACGGTGAACGCGGCGTCGCGACGCCGCGCGGTGCGACGCCCGGATTATCGCCGTTAATCCGTCGTACACTTCAGGGAGGACGCTGCGGTGACGCAGGGCCACCCTCGGGCGATGCAGGACGGCACGGCAACCAGCACGACGCGACGTCTGTAACGTCGCCGCGAAGCTCGCGAGACGGACTACGGCACCGGAATGGAAAGTTCCGCGAGCTCTCGCGCAACGCGACGCCAGAGCCTCCATTCTTGTCTGCCGAGCGCGCCACGGTCGATTCCACGGATTACACTTCGGGCTTGGATGCTGTGAAACCTGTCAGCTAGGGTAGAGGATTCCTTTTGTAAAGCGCTACACAGAAAACATGACTACATGACTAGAGAGGCTCAGTTAAACTGCTTTGCATCTTGAGTTATCAGCACTTTAATACAACATTAAAATTATTCAATACTTTTTTGGATTATGTGGAAAATTAATAATAAATTATTCTACTCGAGAAGTTCTTCAAAAATTTTAATTAATCGTTGAAGAACAGTATAAGAGTTATTCTTTAACTGATTTAAATCTAAAATCAGAAAATTTAATAATATATGAATAAATTGATGATTTTTGAAGATTGTTCCTTTTTTACGATTTCGAATATTTTAATTTAAATTTAAATTTCAAAAAGATTAATTTCTGAAAAATTTTTAATTCTACAGATAAAATGGATACAACTTATACTAAAATTCTTAAATATGGTAAAGAGGGGAAATAATCTGTCTCTCAATTATATATTTATTTGTATCAAACTTTTGCTTATTATAGTATTAAGTATTGGTCAGTAGAAATTCTCCAGATAGGAAAATGTTGCGTGATAAAGCGTAACCCGGCCTTGCAAGCTGAAATGTCTGGAAAGCTCGAGCGTCGTCGAAACGCGCCGCGCAGACTCGTGGGGGCGCGCGAAGAAAAGGACAGTCGGTTATCGATTCAGTTCTGCCAACGGATGGACCCTTTTGCAGTGACTTTAGGGCCGTCTAGGGACTTGTCGAGGAATGTATTCCTCCTTACAAGGCGGAAACCCCGGTAGATCGATGTCCTCTCGAAGGACATAAGAGGCCAAACGCGTCGAATAAACTCGCATCGGCCACAAGAGCTCGAGAGCTTTCGAGCTTTGCGCCGAGACCGCTAATTGGGTTGCTCGATTACACTGTCTGGTATTCCACGCCGTCTTCTGGTTGAGATCTTGAGGCTAATTAATCTTACGCGTGAATAGCGATCCGGTTCATTTCGAGCGGAAAGAGGCCGCGTGAAAACCTAACGAGATTACAACATTACAAAAAGTTATAGTACGTGGCACAGAAAATGCTATTATAATATAAATAAAATTATTTTATTTAGAAAAGAATTCTTATTATAAATTTCAAATTATTGATAAAAATTGCTATTCTATGTCTCAAATTTCTATAATTTTATCATGTTAAATGTATATATACATATATTTTTATATGTACAGAAAAAGAATATCTAATCATCCAATAAAGTGTAGTATTTATTAAAAAATGTTTTAACTATAGACTATACGCCAGTTACGTTCAAGTGGAGAAAAACTTTTTTGACATTTGAAGGCTCAGTCATTGCATCTGCAACGGACAATGTTGTTCACAAACGTTGACAGTGTAATTTGGGATGTCTACAATATTGTGGTTTGATGTGTTGACGCTCTATGACTCGATATTCGTAACTTGACGCTTCGGTGAATATGAAAATTTGCGACAAAATGATAAGATTTCAAAGAATTGGAATAGAAAAGATCTAATTTAATAAATGACAAAAAGATTGTAAAATTTTTTAGATTAATATAAGAATTTCAAAACATAAATCAGAAATATAAAACCTAATTGTTCTTAAATCTCTTTATAAATTTACTTTAATGATACAAAAATCTAAATACGCAGCGTGATCTCTGTTAAATAATTTAATATTACAGTGATAATAAACCTTTTTTTTAATTTTTACAAAATTATAATAATTTCTATATGTAAACAAACATTTACGCAACGTATGACTTTTCAATATTGTTCCAATTCTTTCTTCCAATAAATTCTGATAAAAATCAAATAAAAAAATAAACTATATTGCAAAAATTCTGGTGTACATGTCAAAGATAAAATCTTTTTTATATTTCTATATTACATGTTCGATATTTAATTTTTTGAGTGTAAAATCTTCTAATTTTCGTAGTCAGGCCAAACGAGATAGAACGCTTTCTCCTTACCGAATTTAACACTTATATTCACGCTCAAAGTGTTCAACGTAATTCAGCGGGCCGAAACGGAGTAAACGGAGCAAGCTGAGTGATATACTCGTGCTTCGCTGCTCCTTTTTCAGGCCTCTATTGTGATCTCGCGCAGTCGAAATTCGACGAGATATATCAGAGGATTCTATCCTGCTGGCAGTATGCGGGAGTTTGAAATTTTTTCAACATAGAAGGTTCGACGGAAAAAGTTTTCCGGCGGGACTACTAATTCCGTTAACGGCCGAGTCCTCAAGTTCTTTCGCGCGTGAATGAAATTTATTTCACCACAAAATCCTCGAAAGCATAAAGACTTTTGAACGTCACGTTGTTGTACGTATTGTACTTTTTGAAAAGACTTATTTATAATAAATTATTTTTCTAATTATTTTTTAAATAAATACAGAAATATTATATTTCCTAAAATATTAGAATTGTTAAATCGGGAAGAACAAATAATTACAAAAAAAAGTAAAAATGTATTTCAAAGAAATTATTTTATGATCTATGAAATTTCTGTCAAAAAACTTGATTATCAAGAAATCCAGAAAATACTCAGAAGAATCCGAAGGGATTTCTAAGAATCTAAGGATTTTAAAAAAAACCGCGAGTTCTAAGGATCCAATCCATTTCAGACGCGTTCAACCCGTTCTAATCCTCTAGAAGATGAATCGCTCTGTTGGGCATCTTGAAGACAGGATGCAGACGTTGCTGATGTCTAAGTGTATGAAAGAAAACGATTCACCATGTCTCTTCCGTTGGACCAAGCCGTGCTCTTTGTCAACCGAAGGGTGGACAGCCTCTCTCACCCGGTCGGTTTCAGTGGCGGAAATGACTGAGAACGAAATTCAATTTGCTCGGCGAGACAAGGCGCGACGCGACGACGTTGAAGACGTGCCTGAAGAGAGCGGTTAACCGGAAACCGTAGCTCGATCGATGTTCTTAACGAGAACATCCAGAATCGCGCCGCGAGAAACTCTAAAGCTCGCGTAATCGGATCGCAGTGAATAATGGGAGCTTGCGAGGCCTACGGTAAGTGATCCTTCAATAGTTTAAACCAGGACGGTGTTCTTGGCATGCAAAAGAGCTGATCCAAACTTTAAAGATGTTTGAATCCAAGATCTTAAGTATTTCGTAAAGATCGTTCGATCAATTCTGTTTAATTATATCTAAATAAGTAGATGCGACAAATCAAAATATTTAATTTTATTTTACAAAAAACGTAATAAATTTATTTTGAAATGTTCTTTACATTTTTTTTAATCTAATAAACAATTTTTATCATTATATAAACAACAAAGATTTAATAATTAATAAAAATTAACTAATTAAAAATAAAGAAATAAAAATTAATTAAAAATTGATAAGCTCTTCGAAAAAGAAAATTCTCATTAGCCGTGAAATTTAATTTATTATTTAATTATATAATTCTAATTAATAAATGTGAATAATGATGAGTATCGATTGTATGAGTGTATGAGTGTCTGACAATCTCTTTTGAGAAATGAAATATGTGAAGATTGGGGATGGTAGTACACAATTTACATGTTGAGTAGTCGGGCAATCAACTTTATCGTCACACGTCGTCATCAAGCATGATATAAAGGATCGTTGAGTAATTCGGACCAATGTCGAAAGATTTTCGCTCTAACGAGCTACGAACGCAGAAGCAAAATCACATTCGCGTCTCTCGCAACAAGCGGCAACGCCGAATTGCGCTTCTCGCGTTGCCTTTCCCACTTGTGTCAAAGTGAAAAGAGGATGAAAAGAAGAAGCACAGACGAGAAGATTCGATTTACTTCGTAGATGGAAATGAGAATCCACACAAAGGCCGTCCGACGCGAAATAGTGGACATTCAAGAAAAAGCTTACGTCACTTTGATTTTCTATAAGCGTAAATATTATTTCAGCGTCTTGAAAAACTGCCAGTTAATTGTATTAGATTTTAACTCACGTTAAAAGACTCGAGAGACAAGAAATCTAATTTATAACTGAAGAAGACTAATATAGAAAAGAATTTCTTGTAAAGAATTTCTTAGAGATCATAAAAATTATAAAAAAATTTTGATATTTTCATAGACTTTGAGATTTATTTGCGAACATTTGTTAACGTATATTGACAATTTCATTTCGCGTGTAATGCAAAAACTTTATCCGTCAAATGATAAAAATTGATCTCTTGTAACGACATTGTAGGGCACATGTACTTTTTTATTAGATTTGGGTTGCTGCAAGTTGCTATCGAGTGTCGCCGCAACGACGGACAATTTTCAACTTCGATCGCCCCTGGCGTCTGTCGAACAGGTACAAACATTAATGAAGTTATCCTTTAGAACTTTCTTAATAAAGAATTATTGAGCTTGTATTGGTACCTGGTTAATTACGCTAGAAAGCGTCATCTTTTCCGTCGCCGAATTAGATAAAAGTTCTCTAAAATTTTCCAAACATTCGATTTATCGATAGATATAATGTTACACCAATTATTCTTTAATTTTTGAATGTATAAATTTTAATTTTTAAATTATAAACATGGATTACAAACAACGAAATTGAAAAGATCTATTTCTGAGTAAAATATTAAGAAATATAAAGAATTAGTAGAAAATTAATAAAGAGAATTACCTTTTAATTTTAATTTTAATAGAATTCTTCCACAGTTTATACTTGATTTTATATTTGATCTCAAAAAAAAAAGAATATCTTTTTCGATTTATATAAAATGATATAAAAGGAGAAATTGAATGTGTTTAATGAGAAAAAGGGCGATGGGAAATGCGAAACTATTTGATAAAAAAGCTTGATAAACATCCGGTAGCTATCAGACACGGCACATCACAGACTGTTGGAATTGTTTTCTCATGGATCAGAGCTATTTCGAGGTAAGATTAAGCTTCCATTTAGAGATATTTTCTTTAGATCCGTCTTTTGTCTGTGTCTTGCTCAAGAATTTTCTCGGCCACCTCTTCGAACGTTTGAATGTTTCCTTTCTACCTTCGCAATCTTAGATCTTTGAGTTTCTGAAACCTGGAGCCTCTTTTAAGGTAGAATTTTTATTTATTTCTTAGAGAGGATTTTCTTGAGTTCTGAGATTCTTTAATCCTTTTAAATTGTATAGATATTGTTCTTGAGCTTTGCTTCTAAAATCCTTGAAATTGAAATCCACAGACCCAATAGAGATTACAAATCTCGCCAATGGGAACTTCTACAACTGGGGACGGTTGCGGTCTCTTCGATTACTGTCATTTCCACCGACTTGCACTATTATCGTTAATTTTCTATACCCAGCTTGAGAGACAGAAAACGTTTACAGAAACATGTGATTCATTTGTAATCACAATTGCACGCTCTTTTAATAATCAACATCTTTAAGTAACACAAACAGTATTTGAAAAAGAATTAAGATTTTAACAACTATTAAATAAAAAGCTATTAAAATGGATCAAATATTATTTTTGATATCAAAACATTATTCCTAAACAGCGAATAATTATAAGTTATAAAAAAATTTTAGCTAATTCTTGATAAAATAAAAATAATTATAAACTATAACATTTTTTAAAAAATATGAATTGCTTTAATTGTTTGTGCATTGTTAATTAAAGAGAAAATACAATTGCTCTTAGGGACACCTCGTGTATTCGTTTTGAAATCTAATTAATCTGACATCACGTTCAGTACAGCTACCTCTCGGACAGTACAATGTATTCTAACTGCCAAGTAGCTGGCATTGTCTTGGAAACAATAGCCACTAGTGGAAATAGACGAACCAACCTTGTCCAGTGGGCAGGCAGCCGGTGCAAATTTATTAATTGGTTCAGATGGAGAAGACGAAATTATATATCTATGCATTCGTGGCATCTCCGACGCCGCCCGAGGCATAGTAATGAGGTTGCCGCGCAGGTTCGTGCTTAATCGCTGATTATCGTGTGATAATTAGAAGCGCGTGCCGTAGATAATCATGATACGAAAATTATCCCTCTCATCGACGCGATGATTGCAAACTTACGCAGTAAACTAAACTATAAATATAGCTTTAATAATTATGGTTTATTCTAATTCTACTTAATTATTTAATTGTTACTGTAACATTAATTTTAATTGTTATTTTGAATAATAAATAATAAGAGGCCATTTATTTTATTGGACTTTAATAGAAATTTTATTTAATTAGAAATTTTCTTTTAATTATCAAAGATTATTATTTGTGTAAAAATGTTTTTTTAATATTTTTTTTCAAAAATTATTTATATTCAAAAATTATATATATTATAAACACTCATAAACACTCATAAACTTTTGACGTTTGATTGGAACAATGAATATAACAATGTTCCATTTGCTGATACAATTCATTTTTGTATTGTTGATTTTTGACATATTTTGAAATATTTTTATTTTTGAAATATTTTTTATATTACAGATACGCAGAGAAAAGATATAATTTTTTTGTGTAGATGATAAAAATCTAAGATGAAGGATGAAGATCGCTCACCATCGCGATTATTGCAATTTTATAAAAATCAGAATCTGGTCTCGGGGGGATATTTCTCAAGAAAGACGGGATCTGGCTTTTGTTCCCTCCGTTACTTCTGATAATATATCATTCTGACAATGGGTCACGCGATGTCACGCACCTGTCATGGCGACAACAAGGCCTTCCTCATTCGTCGTGCGCGGTGGATGATTACTGATTACGCGCTGTCGCATAAGGCGGAGGACGACACCAACATCTAAACGCTTAGCAATACTCCAACTCCGAAGATATGACCAAGTTATCGCTGTCAGATTACTCGTGTCTTGCAATTGCACTGCTGAAACTGATGAACTTCACTCACACACAATAGAGAATCATACAAACCCTACAAATTACACACACCATAAGATTCAAATATAGATGTACCAAACTCGAATAATTTATAAAAAAAATTTAAATCAATCCAAAACAATATTTTGGCAATAAAATTACAATTACAATTTGTTTTATTATGTATTTAGACCTTCAAATACCGCTTTATTTGAAAAAGATTGTTTTAGTTACTATAGCATTAAATGTCTTATTTCTAGAACCCCAATTTCGTCAAAACTTACAGAGTCCCCCATCAAAACACTTGTCTCATCTTTTTTTGCTCCTTGAACTCTGATCAGGGTAACGTTTTCGAACGGATCGAATGACATAGAACGAGATGAAACGAAAACACGAGAAAAGGAAGGTAAAAGAGATGAGCGGAAGGAGATAGAGACAGACTGATTATAGAGGGGATAGGAGGGCGTGAAAATGGCCTTTTCCTTTCCGTGCGGCGATGGTTAGAGAGACGGGGAGAATCCCATTATCGGGCGAACTTTGAAAATCAATTCGATCCACCGGTAATATAAGTGAGAACTCGCCAACCACTTTGTCCTACCGTTCTCCGCTGCATCTGCGCGACTTATAGACCTGCTTCACTTAATAACAAAGTTTGCGGGACGCATGTAACGTTACGGGATACACAGTACGGCGTTTATATGAAAAAGGGGAGATGATGAATCGCCGATGGGATACATTCTTATTTTGAGTTTTCTCTTGAAAAAGTACGAAAAACATTTATTTTCATCGTATAAAGTTACAGGTATATAAAAGAGCGAATGCCTTGAAAATTATTAATATCTAACTCACGTCTAGCCGATCACATTAAACCGATTTAAAATTGGATACGATCGACAACGCTCGCAAGAGCGATCTCAACAACTTATACATAACATGTAATGTAGCTCATTTCATTGATTTAAATCATAAAAATATTATTGCGCTATTTAAAATGTCTTAGTCGTAGTATTATTATTTACATGATATACAGTGCATTATGTGTGTGTCTGTACTCATAATTCTAATCAATCATAGAAAAATAGTATGATTTAGTTAATAATAATAGAAAAAATTAAACACATATAAAACGTGCTAGTATCGCTAAAATGCACATTATTGTAATATATATATCTAGACTAATAATAAATAATATTAATTCTAAAGAGAAAAGCTTATCGTCATATTTGATGTACTTTTACATCATATAAATAAGAAAAGCAAAAAACAATTTTTTAAAAATAAACTTAAACGTATGACGAGTACGAAACTTAAACGAGAAAATGATGTTTTGTTGATTTCATTGCTATTACGAATACTCATACACTTGTGAATGTTTCGTGAAAGAGATTGGACGCTATCAGAACTGCATCGACACTTGGTTGAAATGGCAGAGACCCATCTGCATTCCATCTACGTTCGCGAAATAGGACGGGATATAACACGTGGCACTCGAATTGGTTCTCACCAATTATTTCTTGTTCGTCGGCTTGCGTTTGATCGTACCGGTATTCGAGTTACTGGAATTCCCGTTACTGGCGGACGAGGAGTCCGTGCTGGAGGTCTTCTCACTCTTCGGCATCATCATTGTTAGCGTTGGTATGCCCGACTTGGCATCGGATGTCGATGGCGCATTTGTGATTTTACTGGTTGCCGCCTCCACTCTCGGCACGATTTCTGTCTTCTCTATGTACGACGGCTTTTCAATCCCAGTCTCCTCTCTCCTGCGTGAAAACGATGGAATCCTCGTAACCCTGGGTTTCTCCCTCAGGGATGGCTTCTCCCTTTGCTCCAGCGCCCGGTCTCGCTCGCTGTTCTGACAATTCTGCTGTTCCGGCGACGGTATGGCTGACACCTTCGGTATATTCCTCTGATCCCTGCTCCTCGGCAAAGTCGCCGTTGGCTTTATGATAATCTTCGGCTGTTTTAGACTGTTCGCCGGGACACAATTTTTCGGCTCCCGTGCCGTGATGATTATTCGTGGCTCCCTTCTTTCCGTCTCTCTTGGTATCATTGAACTGCCGAAAATATTCAAACCCTCCGATGATTCTTCATTTCTCATTGGATCAATCGTCTTTAAATCGTGCTCAACCTTGTCCTCAAAGTGCACTGTTGCGCTCGACTGTTGATTGGCTTGGCATGGATTAACCACTCTTGGCGTGATCACGATTTTCGGTTCCGCCATTGGTATCGTCACACCTCTCTGGTCTCTGCTGATCACGATTTGTGGCTCCGATGTGGTTGACGTCATTATGGCTGACGACTCGCTCGCTGCCGGTTTATACCAATTTGGATTACCCGCATCCAGGAATCCGGAAGACTTGCCAATATCATCATCGACACTCTGCGATGTCGGCGAGAAAGGATATTGATTCCCATGGAGCGGACATCTTGGATTAGTATAAATAGTATCCATACTTCCGCCTGCCTGGACACTTCTATTTCCTTCCAAGGAATCGATTATGTTAGGATCGGAGTTATTTTTCCCGGAATCTGGCCTTTTTAGCGGACCCACATGTAGATTTGTCGTGATCGGCTCGCTTTCCACCTGACTTTCATTTTCCTCAACGAAGAAATCGCTTTTCTCCAGACTCTTGGAAGTTCCAAATATTCTCGGAGGTGGTAATGGTGGTTGGCTCGAAAAAAAATTCACATTTCCACTTTTGTAGTCTTTTAATGAATTCGCGTGATGTTTCGGTACGAAGAGGCTATTCGGCACTGGAAGTGATCGCCTTTTCTCGATATCTGGCAGCACCTTGGGATAATTTCGACGTTTGATTGTCTTCAAAGCCTCCTCGGGGCTGATACATTCTCTCTCTGCAGTTGGTTCCCGGCATGTAACATTTACATCACTCGTACCAAAGGTCGTTAGGATCGGCCCGGTCTTCAAGTAGATCTCTTCCTCGTGAGGACTTTCGTACTTTGATTGTTCGGATACTTCCGTGTTGATTCCCATACCTGGACGAGGCAGACGAGATTTCAGTTTAGGGTTAATCTTGGCGTATAGACTACTCGCACTTCCTGAATCTGACTCACAGATCCTGGGAGTCGAGAAATTTGTCTTCGTCGTTTTCAAGACGTTCTCCATTGGCAAAGGATCGCTTCTAGAATGATGATGTTCTATGACAATTACTTCAGGAGTCATCAGTTGCTGTGAGTTCGGTTCGAATTCGTTGGCTTTTTCGATACTCTTTGTTAATTCAATTGGTATTTGATTCAGAATGGACTCTGTCCTGGTCGCTGGCGTAGCATCGATAGCCACGGAAATTTTTGGCAATTTTGATTTTTTTCCAGGACGTACAACCAATGCCGGACTTTCATCGTAAATCGGCTCGTCCTTTCTTTCTTTTAACGCCTCTTCCTCTATACGTTGTTTCTCTTCTTGCTGCTGTTTATTTAATTTCTCTTGATGTTCTTTCTGCAATGTTTCCCGCGTCTTACGCAAGAATCTCGGCGAACATCTAACAAAGAAAACAAAACTTTAAAATAAAATTGGTCAATTTTATAAATAAATAAAATAATTATCAACTAAAACTTTTCTATTTAAAAAAATTTTTTATAATTTATGTAACTTTGCTCATAAATTAGGTAATGTTTATAGCCTGAAGTTACATAAAAAAATATTGATCAGCGTTATCATTTAAAATACTTAAATAGTATTAAATATTTTTGATAAAAGAACCAATTATCACTGCGGTTTAATAAAATAATATATTCTTTCGTAAATTTTATGTAAAATTCACAATTAGCCACTAATGTTATCAGTTGTTACGACCACCAATTATTGCGTCCAATTATCGAGAATTATTGATTACAGAACATCATTTTACGTATCTCGCAAATGAAAGATGCGTATTAATTTTGCGATTTTGGTAACGATCAGTAATAATAGCGCGGTTGCACTTTGATGTCCCGAAACTAATTAATCACTTTTAATCTTTATATATTATATCAACAATTAAAAAGTTATTTTGTCAAACACATTTGCTTAATGATGAATTACATTTATTTATATCATATACAATGTTTCATTATGCATGTTTATAATTAAACACATTTCAAATATATGATTTTATAATATATTCCTAAACACATGCGTGTGCGTATGCGTGTTACAACTACATTAATATAAATCAACAAACGATATATATATATATATATATATATACTGCAATGGATATCACGATGCAGTTAAAAAATGAAAAGCCTAACTCACAGAAACGGATTTTTTCCTTGTACAGGAATTCAAAGTATTATAAATCGAAATATTTTATAAAAGATTTATTACGCAACTTGTACACGCTACAAGTACAACAATTTTTTTATTATTGTTCCTGTGCATTATTTTCTTTAAATTGTTTTTGTTACTAATTTTTTGTTACTATTTTTTTCATTTAACTTATTTATAATAAAAATAAGGACAATATTGTAATTTGCAAACTAGATATTGCTCGTTAAATGACAAGAAAAACGTAGTCAAGTTATAAGTCGAGTTTAATTAACTTTGCAGAGTGATACTTATCAACGTTTTCAATAAATAATCTAACAAAATATTCGTAAGCAAGAGAAAGAAAAGAAATTCAATTTCCTGATTTGAGTGATACGGGCCAAAGCAGCTACTCTTTAAACAGAACCCCTAATTGGATTACTGGGTCGCACAACCCTTACCGCAATCGACAAATTTGCGAGCGTAAGCGTTCTATGAGTATCTTCAGTTCTTTGCAATTAGGAAAGACGTTTGAATTGAGTTCAAAACGTTGACTGGTACAAGAGCAGCAAGAAACGTATACTAGAATAATATTAGAATGACAAAGAATTTAAAAAAATCTACAAATTTTTATTTAATTCAAATTGTTTATTTTCAATATATGTAGAAGTGAAGTATATAATTCCATTTAATATGAGTAATGCATAATTCTCAAATGATACTTTTAATCATAAAATTTGATAAATTTTTTTGTAGACGGAAATTTAAAAAAAAAAATCTTTTAATAATTAATTACATAATAAAGTAATTTTATAAAATAAAACTGTCTAAAATTAGAAAAATTAAAAAATTTAATAATTTTTATTAACAAGTAAAGTGTATCAAACATTAATTTTTATTACAATTTTACAAATATTTGTATTTTTATCAAGTAGAATTAATTGATTACAATTAATTAATAATAACTTCAATGACAAAACAGGAATATTTACATCAGCAAATTCAACACATTGGAAAAACAACATTTATTATGATTTATAATAGGACGTTATTTATAATTTTATTTCAACATGTCCCAGCAGAAAAAATATTAAAAATTGATTATTATCATGCAAAATGTTCAGAACTTCACTGACCTATGCACAATTTCTTGCTGAATCCACTCTCTAACCTTGATGTGAGTGTCAATGGTAGAGCTCGAATTTTGTCTCGAAAGCTTCGATCTGCGTCCAAAGTTGGAGTTATTGTCGTATGCTTTGTCGTTCTTTATCACGTCGTTCAAATCTGGTTTGCTGTCGCTTTTGTAGCCTAGCTGGCCGTAATGGTTCTCGTGTTTATCAGTCTTCGACCGCTTGACAGAGTCGTTTTTCTTCTCGCTGCCTCGCCTCTTCAACGATTTTTCCTTTCCCTTCACGTTCTGCTTCTTATAATAGATATATAGGAAAGCCGTGAAGTTTATCAGTATAAACACCACGAAGAAGACAATCACCATCATCATCGCCGATGAGGTCCTTAACGTGCTCGGCTCTATCGTGGAACTCTCCCCGACGCTCCCACCCGTTGTAACCATCGTTGAAAATGGCGTCTTGTCCATATTAGAACCCGTGATACTAGATGGGGATGTATACCCGCTGAAAAAATACCTTACACAATCCGTAACTTTTGATTTACAATAAATCATCTGAATTTATTTTTTTCCAGAAATTAGAATTTCAAGTTTTTCTAAATTTTCAAACCTGTCTTCAAAATATAAATTCATATCAACATTTTTAGAGCGCGTATCTTGAGTAAAAACACACTTGACTACAGAAGCTGCGGCATACTGCACGAAATTCAAATGCATAAAGCGCGAAATTAATTAATTATTCCTGTTACTAACCTAGTACCGTAGCTTTCGTAATTCCGGTTGGCGGTATTATTGGCATACTTGCCAATCCCATCGGCAATATCAAGAATTTGCGGTCGCGGTCCTTTCGATCGTGTTGGACCCGAAATGTCTGTATTCGGGTGCCTGAGAAGATTGGGCAGGTCTTCATTCCAGAACTGCATCTCCGCCGAACGATAGTGCGTACCTATGTTAGGCGGTATGGCTGCGTGCAAGAAGGGAGATACTACGTTCAAGTAAAACGGTAAAATAAAACCTTCGGCAAAATAAATCAAACTTTTGCAGAATAGTAGACTTTATTATATTATTATTATTATTACTTTAATCGTGTACATATAAATGGAAAGAATATTAATTTCGCGTCTTAATAGAAACTTTTTTAATGCTTGCATGCTTCGAGATATGCTAATGTCGAAATTCTTTCAGACTTACTTAGATTAAAATACGTTTGATTGACAGGATCATAAACTGGCCACTCGATGTCATACTGACCCCATTCCTTGAACATGCTAGTCAGGTAGGGATATCGCTTTGCAACGTTGGGATTCCTAAGGGATTCGAATATTTTCTTTGATAAATAATCGCGAATGATTAATGTAACGGTAGAAATACCCAATAACTTTTCTTAGATGTACAGGGCGACTTGGGATTAATATCGTTAGGAAATTGGAGAACAAGATATCGGATAATCCAGAATAGTCCATGGGGATACTCGATACTACTTTCTTTCTGTTCTTGTAAAAATATTGCGCGGTTAGATCTATATAACATTGAATATTTCGAAATTCTAGTTTTTTAGAATATTTTTGGAGTTGTGAAATATAAAAATTAACGCATTTAAATATGCGTATAAAATTTAAATCTCTCTGAAACTATCAAATTCAATACACTTTTCAATATTAAAAAAAAAAAAAAAAAAATAAATCGCAACATTAGAATACAACGGATTATTCGGATTATTCATAGTCTTTCAGAAACTTTTATTAATTTTAAAGATGCAATCATTCGCCACATCAATAATTCCAGCAGAAAATGATTTTTTAATGACGGTTTGAATAAACGCGAATATATCCGATCAATCACGCGTAGCGGCGGCGTTCATACGGTCGAAACAAAAAAAAAAAACTGTTTTTCCGTCATTCGTTATCAGTGACGGCGCTCTGGTACAGATGCTGTGCGTCGTTTATTATGCCAAAGAGACGCGCCCTTATGGTAGATATGGTAACGCATGAAATATCGATCAGCTGTGCAGCGTTTACAAACGCATAACGTTCACCGCTAAATCTAAATACCTTTGTTTTGCTTAATTGCACTGACCTAGTTCCCTCTGGGGATTCTGTCACTCTGTAGTAATGCATAGGTATGTTCTAGTCAAGCCATATGTTCAAAGTGTCTGACAAAAAATCGCGAGGTTGCAATATAGTTTCATGGATGTATCCCACAGAAAATGAATCACCATAGAGAAAGGAATAAAATGCTGCGTACAAATATAATATAGAGTTGTGTGTAAAACGAAAGCACAAAAGCACTTATTTTTAATAGATAATAACATATAGCTTAATATATAATTTACGATTTCGTAAATTGTTGTATTCTTTATAATATCGATTTCACGAGTATAATACTTTGTCGCAATATTTTTATATTTCGATCTGTATAATAAATTTTTTAATCTCATTCTTTTTATGTTAATCACAACACAAAATAGATTCGATATTCTAATTTAACGTAGACATTTAACGTTAAACTTTTAAGTTTAAATTATAGATTCGATATCTCTTTATTTAATTGATAGCAAATAAATTTTTAACATAATTAGAAATTCGATATTGTCCCATTTAAACAAAGCGTGGCTTTACGTTGCGAGAACATTGGGCTTGTTCAATGGAGTAAAGCGGAATGTTTTGCCGAGTAAAACGAAATGTCAAAATAATTCGAAACTGTGGATAATCAGCTTTCATCGCCCAAATTAAAACGACCGATTCGCCGGATCGTTAATTCGACAATATCAGCATAACAAGCGTCAAATTGCGCCGAGCCAATGCAGAATCGATATCTGAATGTGCCTGCAGCCATATGTATGAGTATATTCGTGTTTACAAACCGAAAAATAAAAGATTCGATGACTTAGTTTAGCGAAAATGTGAAATAAACTATTCGACAAAATTCATAAATTTTGATCTTTGTGTTTATTTACGGTGAAAAATAAAATTGCAATCAGAATTGTATTCTCCGGTATAATAATTTTTCTGATTATTCAGTTCAATTGATAACGTAATAATTTGGCATTTGGAAATATAATAAAACTTTTCTTTTTTAATTAAAAGCGATGCAATATATCTCTAGTAAGAGGTGTTGAATTTATCGTTGAATTCGCTTATATGTAAAAGTGTAGTACAATTTTTAAATTAATTTAAAATATAACAGGCTTTATTTATTTTTGGATTACATATATATTTTTCAAATAATCCATTAGTATTTACTGTTTATTAATACGTTTTTATAATTGAATATTATACATTTTTTTACATTTTTTACATTTATTTCCTGTAAATTTATTTACTTTTTTTATAACGTTCTCTATTTGAAACATTTATTTTTGAATTGAAATGTGCTTATGAAGTTCAGTTGTTTCCAAATGTACAACGGAAAAATATATTACAGCCTGGTTTAATTAAACGCCTGAATGTTTAGTTAATTGAAAATCACGTTCTCGGATACATACGTTACCAAGTTCAACTTTACCAACTACGGATTTTCGCGTCAACGCCCAACAACAATTGTTCGCCACTTGTTATTAAATACAATTGTTTCTACATGGTTGCCGCCACTCATGTTGAACTTTTAACACTAACTTTAATTTAACTTTAATACACACACTGTGATTATTTTTTACATTATATTGCAAATTATTTCTTTTTTTACTTTTTTTAACTTTAATCCACCATCTAGCTCCATTTACTTTACTAACATTTGTCAATAAATAATTTGCTGCACTGAATAAAATACAGAATTATTTGGAAAATAAAGTCGTGCAGGAAATATAAATTATTATAAATTTGTTAAGATATTACAAATTAATTAATTCTTTTTTAAATTTATATTATTATCCATGATTTTTGAAACTTAAATTTAAAGTAAACTAAAATAAAAATAAATTTCATATGAAAAGTTAAAATATATTAATATTTATCAATAATTAAAAAAAAGTCTTGCAATTATTTTTAATCAAAAATTTTAATTTTAAATTTAATTTTAAATTTTTAATGATAAAATGTATAAAATGCGTTGTATAAGATTCGTCTCTAAATCTTTCCAGTAACTTACCCGAGACGGGCAAAGCTGCACCACCAATTCATAATGGCTTCCGAAAACAACGTCTCTCTGATATCGTATCGACGCCGTAAGTTGTACTTGCTGCCGTCTAATGGAACACCCAGTACATAGGGTAACTCTTCCCCGTGCACTGTATGTTGACGTTGTTGCTGCAATATAACGAGATCACTGGATGTGCTTTTATACCGAAGCGCGGATTTTATCGACACTTCGATGCCATTCGCATAACTCGAAAATATCAAAGCTCAGGTTGTTACTTCTTTTTGACGTATCCTCCGCATCTCACCTCTCTTTTTTTTTTTTACTCTCTTTTCCTACGTACATATATCTTCTAAAATTTTCATTTTAATATTTTTCACGACCAATGTTTCTTACTGACATTTTCCATTTTATATTTATTATTTACTTTTGATATACTTTGATATTTTCATTTATGTATAATTCAGTAAAATATCTCTTGTTATACAAAACGCATATGAATTTCAAAATTTATTATTAAATATCTCTCAATATACACTGTTCTAAAATTTTAAAATTAAATGACTTTTCAAAATTATAAATTATGAAGTCACTATTATCTGCTTTGGTATAAATATCTTTTTCGATAAGCTTTAGAATTAACTGAAAGATTTTGAACTTAATGTAATCTTTTCTCAAATAGCTAGAATTGTACAGAAATTTATGTGTATTTAACTTAATTATAAAAGCTAGTAACTGCTTAACAATCTATTTTCAATTAATTTACCTGTTACACTAAAGTTTATTTCGAATTTAAACTCGCTCATCATCAATTCTACTAACAATTTTCGAATGAAATTTCCTGGGTGCGAGTTCTCAGATTTATCGCAGTCGTAATTATTTTTAGCGCGATAAACCGAACGTATTTACAAACGCGTCAATTTGTAAAGTTCAATAAAGGGCGGAATTTACGAGAACGAGTGGAAATTAAAATTCATCGAGGTTGCTCGCCACGTACGCAAGAGAGAGGAAAATGGAGAGATAGTGAGACAGAGAGAGAGAGAGAGAGAGAGAGAGAGAGAGAGAGAGAGAGAGAGAGAGAGAGAGAGAGAGAGAGAGAGAGAGAGAGAGAGAGAGAGAGAGAGAGAGAGAGAGAGAGAAATTGAGAGTGAGAAACAAAGAGATTGACGTAACTTGACATGGAAATGATGCACACTGCGAATCGCTATTTGCAGATTTAAAATCTAATATTCTTGTTGACGTGAGGATAGCGTTGTACCCAGAGGTACATTCAATTTAGCGATATTCTCGGTTACTGGATGGCGAGGTCGTTGCCGGCGCACGCAACGGCGATAAAAATAGTTGGCCGAAATCCAAATGGGTTCGCAGCCGGATTTTTCTCTCGGTGACTGTGCGAACACAATGGCCGCTACTAGGTCACAACTCGTCCCTTCCGAACTAAGAAACCTAGGACGATGAATGCAATGCGCTAACTATGTCAGGCATCCCAAAAATTACTCGACATCTTTTACCACAGTTTATTAACAAATTTAGAGTCAATTTTCCTTTAAATGATTCAATCGAAAATTGATATACAAACTAATTGGTATTTTCCATCGTTATAAACTTTATTAATTGAAACAAAATTTGAAAATATTTGATTATTAAAAATAAAACTCTCTTGAGATACCATGAATATTTAAAGTAAATCTGCAAATCAGCGAATTTTAAATTTTGGAGAAAAAATATTTGCTCTTCAAAATCTTTCCTATATACTTGCTCTCTATTCTTCAAACAAGCAATGTCTTACATTTCTTACGGAAAGCCATAACATTTCTTTTCTTTTCTCTCCTCTCCTTTTTTTTTCTTTCTCATACACTTCCCACTCTTTTGCGGTTAGAGAATTAGAAAAAGTAAATTTCCCATTTTAGATTCGCCGATAAAATATAGAGATGAAAAATGCCCTCCGTTTTCAGGAGCAATACTCCGCATCAGAGAATAACAACGTTGCATGAAACTGCACGAATTGGAGCGTTGAAGGAAGTGCACTTTAACTCATCATCCCCGCCAGTCCGCCCCCTTTTTCCCCTTTCACATCCTTTCCTTAGCCCATTGACGCAGCGTGCAACATTTTTCCCGCTCCATGTCGGGTCCCGCTTTGTCGACGGGCGTCTGAGCCGCGATAATCGATCTTCGTTGTATCGTCGAGACCTACTTACGCCAGAGTAGTCTTGCATAGCTTTCGGATGAGAGAAGACGTACATGTAGCTCTTCGGGTTCGCCCTTGAATGCAAATTGGCAGTCATTATTAACGGCGCCACGATGCCGCTATCGGAGAGCGCCTCCAGCACCATGTCCCGATTCTTCGTAGCGTACTCTTTCGTGAATCCGCTCGAGAAGTCGCTATATTGCTCCAGCACTTTTGACAAGATCAGCTCCGGCTCCAGCTCATGCGTTGCCTAAAGATAATTTTTAATACCGGAAATGATTATACGAGTTTTCAAAGAAAAAGTATAAAATTCGATGTTGAAGAAGTTCAATCGTCACGGTACGTGCTTACAGTTTAAAAATTAAGAAATGTAGATATTTAAAAAGAAACAAGAGAAATACAGCCATTTTTAATTTGAAGAAAGACAATCTACGAACTTAGGAACTCTGAAGTTAGAATAGAAGAAACCGAAAAAAATAAGGATCTGAAAATTCAAAGTCCTGGGAGAGAAAATATCTCAAGATAAAAACCCAATAAGGAAGGAAGGAAAATAAATAGAACAAGGATTGCTTCATATTGGAATAAACGAACTCAACACACGAGTAAATTTACTTCGGCATGGTCTCGCAGGATTTCATCTCGTTGTCTATCAAGCATGCCGTCTAACAAAGCAACTGGTGGCAGGATGTGAAATTTCTCGGATTCTGTTACACCATACATCAGATCGAACCTAAAAACAACACACAATTTCTCATTAGTAATTTGTTAAATATAAATATAGGATAGGATACACTCTTAAAATTAAAAGTTTAAATTCTTTTTTTATGCTTAGATCATACGTACATCCAAGATATCCAAAAATCTAATCCATCCGTTATATCTAATCTAATCTAATCCGTCCTATAATAAATATTAATAACATCGTTAAATATTATCGGTAATCCCCTATAGCTCAAACCGTTCTTTTAATAATAAATTCTTTTGCATAATATAACATAATTGAGATTAATGTCGATTTGCATGGATTATATGGGATGGGATCGTTGGATCAATTTTATTTTCTGTATTATTCAATATGAAAATTCTAAATTGTACCTGCCGAAGAGCTGGATATTCTCCATTAAATTGAGCGGCTTGTCAGGGATGACGGCACGGTCGATCAACGGTGCGTAGGCCGGCACGTATTTCGGCTTGTGGATTTTCACGTGTAGCAGCCTGTCTACGTCCTGGTTGCGCAAGCAGAGCGCCAATTCGCTGTCGTTGGTGGTGGGACAGTTGAGAGCGTGCGCCACCTGAAAAACGATCCCCGCCATTGCTCACGAGCGCAATGAACGCGGCCAACGACCCTGTACCCTCGGCATCGATGTAACTGTGTAACTATTCTTCGCCGTGACGAGCAACGATATGTCTTTCCGTCGAATTCAAATCGCTCGAGTGAAGTAGAAACACGGCGCCGTCGTTTGTGAAACGTACATTACCACGTAAAAACTGTGATAAAACGGCGGTTTCTTCATTTCGAAATTTTTTGAATTCGTAACAAATATGACTCGGAACTTGAGGAATTTAAAAGAGTCAAGAAATTATAATAAAACGTAAATTGAATAGAAAATCGACATTAAAAAGCAAATAATTAATAAAAAAAAGGGGATAGAAAGGATAAATAAGAATCTAAAAACTTCTAGAAGAATTAGCAATAGCAATTTTAAACATCCGTAATTTTATATTTGACATTTTAACTTTAGATATTTTTTTATATTAAGATACATTAACAATTTATAGAGGCACTTTATTACATAATCTGTGTGAAAATTTATCTAGAATTCTTTGAAAGGGAGAAAAATTCAGAAGTGTAGAAATCAAAGAGTCAGCAGATTTTTTATGTAAAAATAAAATCCGACGTTTCAAGAAACTAAACATTTAATTTAATTTTATGAACTTGAGAAGAACTAGAAAATATAGAGATCTTTCTAATTCAGATATTAAGTCAATTACGGAATTAATGATAATAGATGCTGTATGTAGCGATTTGTCATTCCGTAAAACTGAAATCCGAGCACATCAATCCTCATCTCGCGTTTTTATTCAAGACTATTATGCAGTGGCGTCTTTCTTTACCTGCATAGTAATTTGCAATGGCGCCTTGCCGATAGCGTCCGCGCTCATTGCCGAACCGGACATCAGAATAGCTCGTTTGAACAAACCTACACCAACAAAATAAGGATGTCATTGATTAACAACATAACATGTTTAATATCGTCTAGTAGTTCTCAAATTTTATATATATTTATATATTTATAGGTATTTATATATTTTAATACGGAGCAGACATATCAATAATTAATTTTTTTAACTTTTTCTTTCTTATATAAATAATTTTTACATTCAAAATCGAGCACTTTTAAGGATTCATGAACAAAGGAATTTGTAAAATTAATTCATTCATAATATTTAAATTACTTTTCGTGCAAAATTTTTTTCCTGATAGTAACAATGTTGTGTTTATAACTTTTCAGTTATAGTTTAATAAATAATAACATTTATGCCATGTATGAGGAGAAAGAGTGTTGGTATAAATATAAAATGGCACCAATATTTGAGAACCCGCATAGCACGAGCATTTCTGTCTCGACGTGTAAAATATTAAGTCCGGTTATTTTTCATTGCACAATATAATTATTGGCCGGACGTGGTGGCATTGTGCGCCCGGCCGGAAGAGAAAAGTTCCTTTTCCCGGCCGCCATTGCGAGCCGGTCGGGTGAAAAATGGTCGACATCTTCTTTCTTGCTTTTGCTCGTTCTCGCTGACCCTGCCAAGCACCGCCGAGTACTCGAGAGTGCTCGTGGTCGATGTGTGCTCACCATTGAACACGTGTAGACTAGCGATTCTTAGCCCCTTGTCAAACTCGAAAATATCACAATGCAAGTTCTTACGAATCGGAAAAGGGGAAACTCGACGGAAGTAACTGAAGTAGTATTGAGTTCTAAATAAGTGGATCCACTATTAACAGTCCAATCATTATTCAACAATTATATAACTATACTTCATATAATTATCGATTTTTAATTTTGTCGTGATAAATATTTGCTTTCAGTTTTAATCATAAATTTCACAGATTCTTTGATAATTAGTAAATCATTCATTCAGAAGCACACCGATCGAACATTGTTTCGACCATCTACATGGGTGTATTGCGTTTAATGCAAGTGCACGTATGCCTATCTCTCTCGCTCTGATTCCTCCAATTAATCCCACGATTATCTCTCGCCGACTCGGAAATCGTGATCCCTATATGCGATCACTGTGCGCTACTATACTATGGATAATGTTTCCAATTACGGCAAGAAGAGGGATTAGTTCAGATTGCATAGAGTTCTTCGATTCTTGAAAGCAAGTATCATTCATAAGTAAAATTTAAAGTTTTTTCTTTTTCAAACAATCGACAGAAATTAACAAGAATAATGAAAAAAATGGATAGTAAAAATTGAACCTCATATAGGAAGTAATACCAGAAAAAAAAACCTTAACAGAAAGAAAAGAATAAAAAAAAATAATCATATTGGTAACATAATATACGTGTAAAAATTTTTATTTTTCTTTACCTTTTTTGTTAGCAACTGGACTAATCAGAAGCAAATTTGCAAAGATGGCTCCAGTTCCGTGACCGACTAATGTGACTCTATTAGGATCGCCTCCAAATTCCCCAATATTTTCCCTTAGCCAAAGTAATGCCGCTATTTGATCTAATAGTCCGAAATTACTTGCTGTATCGTCTTTAATACCAGGTCTCAAAAAACCTGCAATCAAAAAACCTTACAGTCACTATAAATAAATATTTGAAAAAGTAATTGTCTTTAAACATGAAAAAAGAAAAACAGTTTGGGAAAAAAATAAAGAATTTAAGAACCTTAAAGTCCTGGAATATGGATACTTAAGAAGGATCTAAATAAAAAATAAGATAAGAATTTCTTGAACCAATTAAGAACCTAAAAAGTTAAAGGGTTATAAAGGGCTATAAACTTGCGCATTAAAAAATTCGATGATCTAAGGAAATGTTCTTAAATTTTTCAACGATAAGTCTTGTTAGAACCGATCCATCCAAAATCCAAGCAGAAGTAAAGCTCATTAAACTAAGTCCCATAAATATCAGCTAATCAACAACTTGAAAGCTTCCGCGACACATCTTGCTTTTTTCTATTTCTTATTGGAGATCTCGAATAACTGGGATTCCAGGTTTCAAGATCCTCGGGGACTCGTGTATTCGGTGTCCCAATTAATTAGCTCCGCGGAGATGCAAAATTTTCCCCTCGTGCTTAAACATGAAGCACTTTCGCACAGTAACGCGATCACCGGGGTTCTTTTTGCTCGGCAGCCACCTCGCGCTCGGGACCATATTTTTCCCCTGTTTTGCGCAGGGCGGACATGGCTGCGGCAGGGGCGGGTTGAAGCTATCCGCAGGCTCCTCACGGGCTAACTCTGGCCGCCTAGAGCGGGTCGGGGTTACTAAGCGCTTCCCCAGCACTTTAACCTAATTTATGATTATGGTTTCGCGTCCGCCTCTTTTTTTCTTCCGCCAACCACTCCACTTACCGGATATACCGAATGTACCCACACCCGCATACACGTGCGCCACCACGAGCTCGTCTATTTGCATCGCGCCGTCGCTGTCATCTCGCGAGAAGGGATTGCCGGAATTTCGCTGTTAACCCCTTCAGGACGACCACTGTACACGACAATTTCGGATTGTAGGTGCCGCGATGCACTTCTGGATGGCAGTTTTTAACGAACTTTTTGAATAATGACGCTTTCGCATGACCGCCCTCGTGCAACGAGAAATATATACTATTACTATATCAGTTATGTACTTTTTACGTAACAATGAGAAAAGTGCACACCTGGATAATACATGGAATAATTTAACGTTTTTTTCATACCAGAAAGCACGCCGCAATCTAGCACGACCTCATTGTTGTTAAATCGCTTGTATGAATACGAATATTTTTATAAATGAGTCGACTCCAAAAACCTCATACTAGATTTAAGTTATTTTCTTGAATTTCATTAAATAACTTTTCAATAATTTAATTATTCATTAATATAATTATATTTAATATTTAGCAATTAAGCTGAAATGGAGAGCATCATTTACACTTCCAATGATAAATCTACCGTCTCGTATCGTGTGACCTCGGCAAACTTTCTTTGACAGGAAAGTCCAATATTGAAAAGCTCGAAGCGATAAAAATTTAGATAGGAAGTTTGCGAAGCAGGCAGCAGCCTTGGTAAACGACGAACCGTAACGAAGTTATTTATACGATGCGGAACAGTAAAAGTATATTAGGCGTTACTACTTTTCTGCTTCGTGGATCGATCGACAGCTTCTCGCTATAGATAAGAGTCTATAGATAAGAGTAACAAAGGAGGCAAACTTTCATTGCTGTAACGACCTTTGTATCAGTTACAATTCTTTTAAATAGATTTACGTTTCTTACCCAGGATGCCGAGTCGAAAATTAATTGTAACAAAAACAACATCGCCATAAGCCGCCAATATAGTGCCATCATAAGGATTACCGCTATTCCATTCGAAGCTTTCACCATGGATGAATACCATAACTGGATACTTCTTCAGAATTTTCTGACCTGAAATAAAAATTAATTAAATTTTATAGCAAAAAAATATCACAAGTATAATTATTCTTTCAATAATATTTGTAATTTTTTTATTTAATATTTTAGCCATTTTTCCAAGATTTTTTCATATTAATTGACAAATACAAATAGCGATAAAATCTAAAAGAATTGCTGCATTATTCATTGGCGATCGGCAGTACTTTATCCTCTACAGCGATGGTAATTTTTTAATTGTATTTAAGAAGCTTTCTCCTCGAGAGCGCTCCTCGAAGATCTCTGATTTATATCAGGCGAAAAATTATCGCTGGAGTTTGTTCGCGAGAATGGAAGCATAGGATTAGTCCCGAAATTTATATCACCTCCTTGTGAACTATTCACACAGTGAGTTTTCGATATTAGAGTAACTATAAATTCTTCTCCATCCCCATCCTTCGAACGACGTAGTTTCCTTTTAGCGTGCGATCCGCAAATTAGACTAGGACGACAGTCTTCTGTGAGATTTATCGGAAAATCCATGCCGCCAAACTTTCTGCTGACATTTGAATATCGAATTTGTCGCTGATTGTAAGTAAATCATGCTACTTTCAAATATTGTAATAAAGCATCGGTAGAGCAAACGCAATTGTCAATAATGTGTCAAAATAAAAGTATGAGTTAAATTATTTTATTTTAATTGTTTCATAATTTTGTATTGTTTCATAATTTTGTATTTCCAAGATTTTGTATCTCATAATTAATTATTATTATTTAAAAATATCTCTATATGAGATCTATTTTTACCAATAATATTCGATCTCAAATCGTTTAAATTTTAAAAATAGATTCTGAAAGAGTTTTTAAATGGAAGATAAAACAATATGAAGGAGGATCAAGGAGACACAAATATCGTTTACGTGGCAAGCTACATCGGGAACGAAATGGCAGAGATTTCATCCCTTGGCGAGAGGCGACGATCTAAAAACTCATTTAGCCGCGACGCTTATCCTGAGATTTAATTAACGGTTTCAATTATCACCAACGACCGTTCGTCGAACTAACGTATCTCCTATTTCCTCCGAAACGCTCGATAGAATGGCTGGCGCACACTCGATACATTTCGATAAATCAAGACACTCGATCGTGACATTCTCCCTACCGAATCTTCTTGCTTCCTTTCTGACAACGACAACTCGTCCCGATATATCTCACGATATGAATATCGACTTAATAATATTCTGAATAATGAATTTAAATAAATCAAAGACTAAAGTTAATAAATATGTATTTGAAATAAAGGAAAAATTTTAAAACATGAATAAAGCTATATCGGACCGGATGCGTTTCATTGTTTCATCGAATACATTTATGATATAACGTAATTCCACTCCATTATCATATCGATATCGACGTACTTGCGTTTTTTTTTCCTAGCTAAATCTTATAAACGTGCAATGTTTTCTTTCACACAAGACTCTTGTATATCCATGTCCGTGATATTTGTAGAACACGAGCGACATTGTGCAACGGGCAAATATTCTATCTCATTTCTCCTTTACGAGAAACACTGCGATGGTTGCCGCACAATCGCGTCCACGCTCGCGTCTCTCCGTTGGGTCCTATACATCATAGCGATCTCGAGCCGGAACAAGCGCCAGGAGAACAAGAGAAAGCGACAGGGACACGCGATCGCCGCGAAATTTACATGAAAATTGAAAGGCGGATCGATCGATGCGTTCTGCATAAAATTGATGTATCGCGAATCATGTGCGGAGATATTTTCATCTTGCGTCACGTGAGCGCGCGGTTCGCACGCGTGCAACAGAGCTGCCTCCGCCGCCGCCGCCGCCGCCGCCATAAATCACTTCGCGTGAAGCTATATCCTAATAAAAGGAAAACCATTCCTCCGTCCGAACGATAGCGTATTTTTAGCGTATTTTTCGCTATAAAAAAAAAAAAAAAAAACGCGCACGCTCATAACTTGCTTGAAACATTTATGAAGACGGCCTATGCGAAATGCATTTCCGTTCATCCAAAAATGCATGAAGATTGTTTATTAAAGTCAAATAGGTTTTCTCAGATACAAGTAGAAAATTGTTGAAAACAAATGTAGATATAAGAATTTAACAAATAGACGAACAAATGTGTATAAATTAAGGTAATAAATAAATCGATTGATTTTCAATGTACGTTTTCAGCGTTATTTGTGAGAAACAGAGTATCGGTCAAATCCATTAAAACGATAAAGATTTAAGCCGGCTGCATAATGTACATTGGCGGATTAATCGAAACTCTTTCTGTTGAAATAGGTATTGTCCAAATCCGGATTAGTATGGAAAGAGCCCCGATCACTACGAACAAATCAATTCCCAATATACAAACGGTTTTTATCGCGCAGCGTAATCAGTTTTATTGGTGTGTTGCTCCTGGTTGGCACGAGATAAATATTTACGAGGCGTCACGGTGCGCAGGAACGCCTCGTCTCGTAATTCACGACGCCTCAAAGACTCGACCTTCTTCCAGTCGGTTCGCATGCTCCTGTAAATAATGGATTTACAGCCCTTTTACGGCGTCTCCATATGCCCGGAGAAACCGGTTGACGCAAGCGAGCGTCGCATCGATAATGGCGTTGTAAATCAACGAAAATCTCTCTAAAGATCGACCGATACTTCTCCCCCATCTTCTCCCTCCTTTGCACCATTTCTGTTCCCCGCCAGTGACATGGAAACAGCTTCTTTTGCAAGAAATGAGTAAAGTGGGGTGAAAATCACCCCGGGATACGAAGGGTGGAAAACGTGCCAGCCTTCGCCATCTTGCGCAGCTCGTAGGAAACTCCTGACGCCATCGCTTGCTACAACCCTGTACAGATGTCGGGACAAATATCGTTTTGCTCGAGAGGATAGAAATGGCATTATTCATAAGACTTTTGTGCAAAACGTTGCAAATCAATACATTCCAATCCGTGAAAGTTTATTGTTTTTATCTTCAACCGAGAATACCGAATGCTTTTTCATTTAACGTTTTTCAATTTTATTTAAATTATATTTGACGTCAATCTTTTGTTTTCTAACATTAGCCTGCAAATTATTGACATATTGCAATATCTCCATTAAACAAATTGATATCTAAAACACAAACAAAAGAAAGAATATTAATCGATCATTACTTGATCAAACAAAAATTTGCAAGTTTTAATTATCATAATGATATATCAAATGGTACACAAATCTTAGAAAGTTTGATAAAGAAAAGATGTGGGTTTATAAAACTAGAGATTACTTTAAGATTATTTAAATATCCGGATGTGATAAAAGGATGTGTAAGAGGAAGGAGAGAAAAATCATACGTTCACGTGAGTTATTTTTCCATCACTCTGTACTTCAACTTCTCGGTGAAATCCCTCGCTGCCCTATCGCCAGCCATCTTCGGTCACGAGCGACCAGGATCCCGCAGTCCCGTGAAGCGATATACTACGTCTAGCTTGGGCAAAGTGCGGAATCGTGTCGGGAATTTTTTGCGAACGCGGCCGTTTCGCAAAATCGCGCGAGCTGCCGGCTGAACGCCGGAAATTGGAGGAACGACGGAACATGTACCGACCGCGAGCCTCTCCGCTTTCTTCCGTTTTATCCTCGAGACTTCTGAGAAGCTTCTTGGCTACTATCTCGTTACGCTTAATTTTGATATACCTTGGGTCTTTACTTGCACTTGATATACTAAAGCGTTGCATAATTCGAAAAGAGTGTATCATCAAAATTACAATACTAACGTTATTTCAAACAATTAATGGAAAAAAATCCAATCTAAAATTATAAAATAAATCTTTATAAATCTTGAATCACAAACTGAATTGAATCCTGCTATTGTTATACAAATGTATTTATTAAATAAAATATTTTAACTTTAAAATAAATAAAGATATAAATAATTTGTCAAATTAATTATAACTTTGAATAATACAGAAAAGAAACGAAATTGTTTCTACATGACTCTTTTATCAATTGCTTCTGCAACGCTATAGGTTTACTATAAATTCTTGTAAGGTAGGGAGATTTATTTCCTACAAAATGCTACAACATTGCTTTCTTGTTACATTGTAGCATTTATCGACAGCTCCTTTCTTGCGCAAAGTATGGTTTTTCCTATCTGTCGTGCTTAGAAATCTCTAGATGCTGCGAAATCCGAGTTTATACCGTCGTAGCCTAATCCGTAGAACGATCGAGGTGTTAAATCCTACGATTAGTGAGATTTCGCGCTCTTTCTGGCTTTTCAAGGAGGCGCCGCGGCACCGTGAGAGATTCAAGTGTTCGATACCGATAGTGCGGTGTTGTAGATACATGACTTGGTAAAGCCTTCCATTATCGTGGACGACGTTATTCAATCCGTAGTACACGTATTCCAATGTATACGTGGGGCGTCTGGAGCAGATAGGATGACGGAACGATGACCCCTTCACGTGTGCTACTCTCTATAAACGCGCACGTTTATCGACCGCCCGTAATGTATTCGACTGGAAAATTTGAAATCACTCTTTCTTTTTCTTCTGTAAATCCATCCAGGTTCAGTCTTATCATGACATTTCATAAATTACATCTAAAGCACGTTTTCGGCGATCTTGGATGACGCGTCTTGGATTTAAGGACGACATTTATTTTATAATTTTACATACCATGCATTTTGAAATAATTATTTTTCAGAATTAAAAAAAAAAAATATATATATATATATATATATATATATATATATATATATAAAAATTTAGGTTCGTATTTTATTCTGCATTTTACGTATTTTATATATTTCTGAAATTTCATGCTTTCGTATTTTTCATACAAAATATATAAAACTTGTAAATAGAATTTTATCTCAATACAAATAGATTATCTAAAAAAGTTTCATGTTATAAAAATTTTTAAAATCTGTTTTTAGCAATATACATTCTTTATGAACAATCTTTTTATAAAAAAAACTAATATACTGATTTTAACTATGCTAGTTATAAATAAAAAAGCCAATAAATATTATTTCTTTTAATG